GGCTCTGAGCTGTCAGCACAGAGCCCAATGCGGGGCTCCAACTCGCGAACTGTGAGATCATGACCTAAGCTGAAGTCGGACGGTCAACCAACTGAGCCACCCAGGTGCCCCAAAGGTTATAAATTTTTCAAGGCTTCTTTCATATTACCAACAAGTTTTCCAAAATGTCTACACCAATTTCCAGTCCCTACCAACAGCATTTGAGAGTAGAGGCGGGCAGGTTTGAAACTTAAATGACTGTCAGTCTGTAGTGAAAATAATTATGAAAGAGATTTTTATAGTTTCTTTTTTGATAAAGTTCAGGGAGGAAGTTAACACATTACTTAACCAGTAAATAACAAAAACAAGTTTTTGTGTGTTTGTTTTTGCCCATCGAACGGTGTTTTATGGCTAACAGGACATCTGAAAAGCTGCTGTGGCCCCTACTCACCCGCATGCAATGGCGCATCCTGATGGGGCATACGCACAAGCCATCACCCACGTGCAGGGCATAGTGACCGCGTGCTCCTGAAACACAGTACGCCAGGTTCATAGAAGGAACGAGAAGCGTTTCTACACACATGTATTAACCTTTAGTTTTCACAAAATGAAACGATTCTGGTTCCTGCTCAATTCCATTACAGCTTCAAAGAGCAGTGATGTGAGGTGACGATCAGCTGGAGACTGACGAAGAGACTCAGCTCCCCCATAATCAGCTGAACAGTATGTCGTATATTCGGAAAGCTAAAAATCTCAACCAGCAAAACAATATTCTTAATGTTTTACTTACTTCTTAATGGTGTACTCCCCTCATTCTTGTGAATGAATATTGGAGCTCATTTTCTTTGAAAGGTCAGTCTGAATTTCACTGTAGTTATATTCTTCAACCTATTTACTCAAATTCCCCCATTTTCAAAATCTATTCTTAAATGATTCAACATGTACGTCATATGTGTCTCCTTGTGAGTGTACGACAGCCGCTGGGCCCTGTGGGGCCTGAAACCATTCCTGGGAAGGTGTGAGTGGGGGCAGGTGTGCACAGGGTGATGCTGAGTTGTGCTCACAGATAACACAGAACCCGTAACATGGAAGCTATGAGAACAAGACGTAGCAGTTCCTGCTCCTGGCTCCTGCATTCTCCTGCATGTAGACAGGCAAACAAGAAAGCCACGATTCAAAACTTTCTAAATTTGTGGTCTTATTTCCATGACAGGCCCTGGTCCTGGTTCCAACACCAGCAAGACGTGCGGCCTCATGTAGCCCTGCCATTTGTCCTCCCTCAGTCTCTCCCCATCTGTGAAGGGAGAGGATGGGACTAGATGATTCCTAAAGTACATGTGAGTGCTGGTCTTCTTTCCTGTTTGATTCTGTGCGATTTTGTGGGGGAAACATGGGCCCTGACACTGCCCATGAAAATTCTGTCACTTGAAATCTATAGGCTTAAAAAAATTTTTTTAATGTTTATTTTTGAGAAAGAGAGAGAGAGAGAGAGAGACAGAGCAAAGCAGGAGAAGGGTAGAGAGAGAGGGAGATGCAGAATCCAAAGCAGGCTCCAGGCTCCAGCCGTCAGCACAGAGCCCGACGCAGGGCTTGAACCCATGAACTGTGAGATTGTGACCTGAACTGAAGTCATATGCTTAACCAACTGAGCCAGCCAGGTGCCCCAGAATCTACAGCCTTTTATTTTTTTTTTTAAAATTTTTTTTTCGACGTTTATTTATTTTTGGGACAGAGAGAGACAGAGCATGAACGGGGAGGGGCAGAGAGAGAGGGAGACACAGAATCGGAAACAGGCTCCAGGCTCTGAGCCATCAGCCCAGAGCCCGACGCGGGGCTCGAACTCACGGACTGCGAGATCATGACCTGGCTGAAGTCGGACGCTTAACCGACTGCGCCACCCAGGCGCCCCTCTACAGCCTTTTAAACGCCAAGAATAATCTGTGCAAATGGTCGCTTTAGGCACAAGGCACCCCAGGCCCCCTTCTTTACAAGTAATAACTATGGTCTCTGACGGGGGGGGCCACAGAGGCAACACCATGCCCCTTAGAAACCAGGCAGTGTGTGCTCAATGACATTCTAAGGCTTAAACAGAAATAACAAAAACCCACACACTCCTGAAGATGCTAAGGCATGCTGGGAGAAATAGAAGCTTCCGTGGAGGGAGGTGCTGGACAGGAAAGCCCTTTGCAAACTCTTAAGTTGCCATTTTTACTATTTCCCAGGGGCCTGACCATTAGGGACTCTGCTCCAAAAGATGGTTCTGGGCCCCCCTTTGATCAGGTTGTACAGCAACTGCCTACCACAACAGCTACTAAACACATTCAATAGTGCAGAATTCGGATGCTGTTCAGTTTTAGGCAGATCTAGATCTCTGTGTTTTATATAGTGAAAAAGAAGACTTTCTTTATAAGTAAATAACAGAATCAATAGTCATTACCGTAAATGGCAACATGATGCAGGCTTGTAAGCACACCGACACATTGATTTTGGCCTTTCTCTTAAGAGTCTAAATTCAGAGCCAAGCATGCCCAGGCCAGACAGAGGATAGTCAGTTCAACCCCCTGCAGCCACAGCTTCCCTGCCCACTGCGTGCTCATGACCACAGTGGTACAGTCTGGTCAAAGACACAGAGAGAAACCTGGGGATTTGGGAACCTCCTACCATCCCTCAGAAGAAAAACAATACATGTCTGTGTGAATGTGATAAGTTTTCCAAGCCAGGCCCTTTCCCGTTTTAGTGCTAGCACCCTGTCTGGTGGCTCTCCATGCTCCAGCCTCAATGAGGGGTGTTAGCTCTCCAGAGGAATGGATTTTGCTGTGGGTTGCTGAGCTGTCTGAACACAGACAGCTTTTGTGGGGTTTCCATCCCCAGAAAGGCACCCGAGAAGAAGGATGACTGTGACTGGGGGTGTCTGGAGGGGATGAGGACCCAGGGCTGTGGTTCTGAGGTGCTGCTCAACATGCCAGCGACAACACCTTACCTTGTTAGTAGTGAAGGAATCCCACACGATCACCTTCCCATCCTGGAAGGAAAAGAGTAAATAGCTCAGGAGTTGTCAGCCAGTCCTTACAGGGAAGTACTGAGAATTGTTCAAAAAAGCTGTCTGGCGGGACAGTGTGCAGGAGAAAGCCAGAGTGAGTATCTGGGTAATCAAGATCTATCCTTGAACAAAAGGGGAGCGAATATGGGGCTCAACTGTCCAGCCTGATTAAAGGCTCAGTTCTCAACGTTCTACTCCTTGTACAGATACAAAGACAAAAGCATTGCTCGGAGACTTCTGTTATACTATTTAGAAACCAAGCACAAACTGTTGGTACACGGCCATCACACACCATACCCTGTCAGAAAGCGATACAGGCGTAAGACAAACCTGAAATGACCTCTAGGTACCTGACAGGCAATGAGTGGACTCTTGCTTTCTCCCTCACCACCTCCACTAGCCATCCTGGCTCCTGTGTGCTGTGCTCCCTGTAGGGACGGGTCAGAGCCCCACCCTCATTCCTGGCCCACTTCTCAGAGCTGCGCTGGCCTGAGATCAGTGTAACGTTGCCACCCTAACATGTTGCACCTATGCTGAGAACAAGTCCATCATGGTGGGGATCCCCTGTGGGCAGCTGTTCTGCCAAGAGAGCACTCCCTGTCAGGGTGTGTTCTGGGCTGGGGCCAAGTTCACTGTCACCACTGCTGCAGCCCACACTGGGGCTGTGGGGAGTCACCACTAGGTCATCTATTTGTCATACAAACCCACTGGGGATAGACCACATAAGCCCTGGTCCCTACAATGCAGTCACCGGCCCAGCATCTGGTGTGTGGGTCCTCTGGGCCCCCAGGCTCTGCCCAACAGCGGAAGAGGACGGCTGAGCTGACTCCTTCAGTACATGGGTCCCCCACACACCCTCCGGGATGGCGAGTCTGCAGCATCCACGGCAGGCTTGGTTTTTGTAATCATTCAAGCCATTTGGAGCCAAATCTGACGAATGAGGCAAGGGCAGGGGAAGAGATGCTGCTTAGGGGCACAGGTAAGGTCTGATTATCCAAAGTGACACTGCTTTGGATTCTGTGTCTCCTTCTCTCTCTCTGCCTGTCCCCCACTCACACTCTGTGTGTCTCTCTCAAAAATAAAGAAAAACATTAAAAACATATACATGTTCTAAATAATCCACACACTCTAACATCTATGTCAGGTTGTATTTGATAAGAAAAGGTCGTAATTAATCTCCTATATTACCTACAGGTCTAGTATGTCATGTACTTGCTTTCTTTTACGTTCATAAAAAAAAGTTATCCCGTAAGTTTTCTACCACATTTTAAAAAACGCTGAAAAAGAGAACAAAGAAATTGTTTTACTTCCACCATTCAGTCCCAGCCATTACTATTTTGGAGCATTCTTTCTTGACTTTTTTTTTTTCTTTTTTTTTTTTTTTTACAAAGTGCTTATCAAGATATATATGTTGCTACCTAGCCTTTTTGATGCTTTGTATGATCTACTGGAAGATTTCCATATTCCTGCTGCGTGTGGCCAAAGTGCCCAGAAACAAGGTCAAAGTAGGCATTTTGGGACCTTTCAAAACTCCTAAGCACATTGGTTCTTCTAGTCTGACTTCTCTAAATCCCTGAGCACAACGTATGGGGTAGATTAGGTAACAGAGCAGAGAAGAGATAAGGGGCTCCAGGCCTTGGGGTCCTCCACACCTGTAGCTCCACATGCTGCATGGGGCTGGCAGGGGTGGGAGGCAGTGTTTGGACAGACTCAGTGTATTGTCCAAATTGGCGTTCCCTTCGGTGGCTTCCTCCACCTCACTGCCTGCCTGCCTGTCCCCACCACCCACCTACTATGTGCTCTGGAGAGAAAAAGGAACCCAAGAGGCTAAAATCAGTCATAAAACCAAATGTGGGCTGCTCCACAAGCACGGATTTATACACCAGGGGCCCACATACCTAGAGAGACAGCCTCCACCCTAAACCCGAACCCACGCAGTCAGGCTGATTAATCTCCTGCCTTCAAGGGAACAGGGCTGCTCTGAGTCACTCTGTCTGCTCCAGAACATTCCTGCTGTTTCCAGCTTCCTCCCACACCCACCCGGCTTCTAGTTTCTCTGCAGCAGAGGTGGATGGATGGAGCACGTCAGCAGTGTACCTCCTCCCTAAGGACAGTATTTGAGTGACAGAGAATCCAACATATATTACACTTCTAGGGGTAAAAAAAAAGTCAAAAAGGCTAGGTAGCAACATGTATATCTTGATAACCACTTTGTGAAAAAAAGTTGAGAAAGAAATGCTCTAAAATAGTAATAATGGCTGGGACTGGGTGGTGGAAGTAAAACCTTTTCTTTGTTCTCTTTTTCAGCGTTTTTTAAAATGTGGTAGAATACTTGAGGGATAACTTTTTTTATGAACGTAAAAGAAAGCAAGTACGTGACATACTAGACCTGTAGGTAATATAGATTAATTACGACCTGTTCTTATCAAATACAACCTGATATAGATGTTAGAGTGTGTGGATTATTTAGAACATGTATATGTTTTTAATATTTTATTTATTTTTGAGAGACACAGACAGAGTGTGAGCGGGGAGGGGCAGAGAGAGAGAGAGAGGAAGACACAGAATCCAAGGCAGGTTCCAGGCTCTGAGCTATCAGCACAGCCTCCCAAAGCCGGGCTTGAAATCACGGATGGCAAGATTGTGACCTGAGCCGAAGTTGGACACTTAACCGACTGAGCCACCCAGGCACCCCTAGAAGATGTATAGTTTTTATACTTAAAAGGGCAATTAAAAAAAACCCCAAATTGTCCTTTGGAAAAGCTGGGCTGAAAGCAGGGATAGGGAGAAGCCCAAACTGGCCATAAAAATAAATGACTTCAGTTTACAGTTTTATATTCAACGCGTGTTACATCAAAATAGACATAAAAAGTACCAGGCAGTGATAAGCAGCCTCCTGATAGTCATACTTTTGTATAGGTCCCTCCCGCATTATATTAGGGTTGGTCCGTGTGACCAGTGGAATATAGCAGAAGTGATGGAAAGTCACTTTTGAGGCCAGCTCATAAAAGACAGCATGGCTTCTGCCCCATCTCCCTCTAGCACTCTGGGGAACACCAGCTACTGTGTTGTACGCAGCCCTATGGAAAGTTCCATATGGTGAGGAACTAGGGCGTCCAGCCAATGAGCCATTTTGGAAGGGAATTTCTGCCTCAGTGGAGCTGTGCCATGATCACAGCCCTGACAAGCATCTTGACTGTGACCTCATCAGAGATCCTGAGCCAGAACCACCCAGATAAGCTGCTCCAGATTCCTGACTCTCAGAAACCATAATAAATATTTGTTGTTTTAAGTTGCTAAATTTGGGGGTAACTTGTTATACAGCACTAGATAACAATAATACATAAGATATAAAATAAACTATGTCAATGAGATAGAATGAATGAAAAAAATATCCTTTCCAAAAATGTATCTTAAATTTGTTCTTTAGGGGTGCCTGGGTGGCTCGGTTGGTTAAGCGTCCGACTTCGGCTCAGGTCATCATCTCATGGTTCATGAGTTCAAGCCCCGCATCGGTCTCTGTGCTGACAGCTCAGAGCCTAGAGCCTGCTTCAGATTCTGTGTCTCCCTCTCTCTCTGCCCCTCCCCGACTCGTTCTCTCTCTCTCTCTTTCTCTCTCTCAGATGAAGAAACATTAAAAAAAAATTGTTCTTTAGGGCATAGAAATTGCTGAACTCTTAAAGTGAAAGAACCCATAAGCACTTATGTTCCTAACTTGAGGGGAAAAAAACCCTCTATCTAAAAAAGGGTTTCATTTACAAATGAGACCCTGAAATATGCTCAGGAAGAAATAATTTTGAGTGGTTTGTCAAATACAGTTCATGTCTCAGTTATTACCAATTCCAAATCTACCCAAATGAATGGCGTTCTACAGTATGCAAGAGAATTCTTAACTATGCTAACTCATGTCCTGTGGAGAATAAATGGAGTCCTAGAGATCAGGAAGGGTTTCTTGAAAAGGAAAGCTCTCTTCTTTTGCTATAAAGTCAGACGCATGCTCAACATCAAATAGCAGGTGCCACGTACCTGGGATGAGCTCACGATCCTTCTCTTATCTTTGCACCAGTCCATGCAGAGAACTTTGTTCCCATGGCCTTTGAGGGTCCTTCTGGTCTTCATGACAAACTGCCCCAGGGCCTCCACCCGCTCTGCAACCTGGTGTACTAGAAGGACAGGCAACACTCAGTTCTGTTACCCAGGACCAGATTCTGAGCCATATGCTGGCAAAGGGATGACACTGGTCTTTCTCTGTGGCCACAGCTTGATTCTCCTGTTCTTTACTATAATGCCTTCACAACGCTCTCTTTTGAGCTCAGTGGAGGGTAGAGACAACACTGTCGTTCTGTCTTTGTGTTTAATACCCTACATTTTTCAAAGCATTTCCATCTCTGTGTGCTGAGGGATCAACAAGACTGCCTCATATCTACAGACTATATACATTCTACTATACACAATTCTCCCACTGAAGGGTGACAGCTCTGCGAGGTAGGCAGGGCAGCATCAGAATGAGATCACTGTCCCCCTTTAACAGGTGAGGAGACTGAGGCTTACAAGGGTTCTTTGGCTAAGTTCATACAACTAACTGGGAGTGACTCTGGGGTTTCCGGTTCTTTCACCTACCTTTCCAGTCACAAGGAAAAGTGACTTTACAAAAACTGTCCTATGAGGTGCCAGCAGGCACTGTGACTCCTAAATGACCACCCCCCTCCCCCTCTTGCCTAGCAAAGGCCTTGGATGTGTGGGTGCTCCATTCATGTGCTGCAGGCAAGAATGAATAAGGGAGCCACCGGTACAGCCATGGGTTTACTGAAAACTTGCGGTGTCAGTAGAGAGCAATATTCTAGAAGTCTGAACACATGACCTAGAGAAGGAACCAACACAAGGGAGGAGCTTCAAAAAGGAATCTCTCAGGTGCTGGGACCGTGGCCTCTTTCTCGAAGCAAATAGAGCTTTCAAGGGGCTTATCTCAGAGGCTTTCACTGTGGGGTGTCACTAGGAGCCAAGTTCCCACAAAGGTACCATCTAGTCCAGACCCTGCATCCAGAGGTGAGGAAACTGAGGATGGGGGATCCCATGGCTTCTCCCCCTTGTGCAGTGCCACTGCGCTTGTGGTTGGAGGCTGTGCCAGAAGGAAAACTGGGGCTCCTGACCCCCTCTCCACTTCTCCTTCCTCCAAACCTCCCAGCAGGGCATTTCCCCAGGCAGGTGAGAAGCAGGGAAGGGGGCATTTGAGGCAAGGGATGGCCCGAGGAAAGGTGTGGTGTCTTAGCATAGCAGAGTGACGTGGGTGATGTGAGGCCAGGGGGCTGGCCCTCTTCCTTCCCAGGAGCTGCTAGAACTTGAGGGGGAAATGCCACCTCCTTGTGGGAAACCCGGGCAGGGAGGGCCAGACTGGACTGTAGTTCAAGCAGTGACAACAGAGCCCTTCTCAGAAACCCACCCTCCCTGGCTGGCTCTCCCTTCCTTCTCTCTAAACACTGCACTGTGTATCTCCTAAAAACAAGGCACTCTCTTACATAACCACAGTATATTATCAAAGTCAGAAAAGTAACACTGAAACAATACTACATCTGATGTATGGACCTTACTGAGAGACTCTCCATTGTCTCAATAATAACTTTACTGCAAAAGAAAACCCAAGATCATGTGCTGTACTCAGATGTCATGTTTCTTTAGTCTCCTGACTTACTTTCCCAGTTTGGGCTTGTCTCCTGCTTCCTCAAGATTAGATTCAGGTAATATTTGTCTGGCAGGAACACCAGAGACTGAGGAGCTCCTGCCGGTGTGCCTGGTCAGGAGGTACCTGTTGTCCATTAGTTCACCATCACCAGCACTGTTCACGCTGACCATCTGGTTAAGATGGTGTCTGCCAGTTTCTTCACTGGACAGTTACCATTTTGCCTTTTATCATGAAGAAGCATCCTGTGGGGATGTACTTTGAGACTATATAAATACCCAGTCACTCTTCAAACTCTAGTTTTAACATCTGTTAATGATTCTTGCCTGAATGGTTTATTACGATAGTTCGCAAGGTTTTCCTAATTCCCTCATTCCTTCTGTTTTTTGTTTTTTTTAGTTGGCTTTCTAATAAAAGGAGTTTTCCCTCCCCTCCAATGTATTTATTCACCCATGTATATTAGATGGACTCATGGATTCTTACTGTAAGAATTATTTATTTTGATGCTCATCCAGTGCCTGATTTGCTCAGAGGGGGCCCCATCAAGCAAGCTCCCATGACCTTCCAACACGTCCTTATTGTCAAATTGGTTTCCATACAACTGAAGTCATCCACCAGGTGCTCCTCAACAATGCCTCCATACCCATCACCCACCCACCCTCCCTTTCCTCCCACCCCCATCAGCCCTCAGTTTGTTCTCAGTTTTTAAAAGTCTCTTATGCTTTGGCTCTCTCCTACTCTAACCTCCTTTTTTTTTTTTTTTTCCCTGAGCACTTCTTATTACAGACTCACGTTCTTTCCCTGCGCTGGCCTTGGAATCAGCCACTTCTCCAAGAAGTCTTGGTTTCATGTAGTTGCCCCATTTCTTTGTGATAAAAGAACAAACGTGTGAACAGGTTAAAACTCTCTGTGAAAACTCAGACTATAAAAAATACTGGTTTAACTATAAAACTACATGAGAGGCACCTGGCTGCCTCAGTCAGTGGAGCGGGCCACTCTTGATGTAAGCTAGAGCCCTACATTAGGTGGAGAGAAAAAAAAGTATACCTGAATATGCAATTATTATGCTATTACTTCTGCTGAGACACTGCATTCTTTATTGCCACAAACAGCACATTAGTTTTTTACTGATGCGTTCTTTAAGACATATTGTTTAATATGTTTAAAAACAGAGTGAATTTTCTAAATTCTTACAGGCCTTTGACATGTCTGTACCAGCTCAGAGTTGTGAGCATAGATTATTTAGTGTTTTACTTTGACACTTCACATCGATATTCTTGCTGTTTTCCTCACTTGTGCATTAGGAAGACCACAGCTATTTAATGTCCCTCTCACAAAAATAAAAAAAAAAATTAATTAAAAAGATGGCTCACCCCACCCATATAGGGCCCTCCTTACATAATGGGAATCTGACCACATCCCAACTATTAATTATTTTTTCTCATTGCATTTTTCCATCCCATACCCACTCATCCTGTTTCTATCTGGCAAATCTCACATCTATTAAAGAGTTACAGCTTTTCAAATGACGTCTCCAGAACCCCTACTGTGTGCCAAGAACTATGCCGGATGCATGGGTACAGAAAAGAATAAGACAGTCCCTGCTCTTATGGAGCTCACAGTGTGCAGGGGGAAGACAGGCCTGCACACATATCACCAAGGCAGTGTGGTCACAGAGGTGTCGGGGAGCCGAGGGTAACACGGCTGACTGCTGGCAGGTGTGCCATCAGAAGGAGATGTCACAGGTACCTGGTTTTGAAGGATCCATAGGAGTTGGGGTAAGGAAAGGGAAGGGAGGAAGCTAGCTTCTTTATATCTCTGTTTCTCGTTCAGTAAAATGGAAGACAGTGAACTAATCCACGGGGGTGTTCTGAGTTTTAATGGGGGAAGTGAATTAAAGTGCCTAACAGGTGTCTGGCAGGCCAGAAACCAAAGATGGAGAGTCAGGGTACTAGGGGCTGGGGACTTGAAAACTGGAAACAACATAACCTGGAGGAGGTGGGGGGGGGGCTTCTGAAACGGAAGGGCCACAGAGACTTTCACGTTTGGGATAAGAAAGAATGAGAGAGTGAAAAGAGGTTAGGGATAGGGAGAAGGTTTTTTCTTGATTTATTTTAATATAATTATAGAAGAGAATGCACACCCATTGAAAGTAACCAGAAAATAGAAACACGATCGCTTACAGTCCTGCCTAGCCTGACCATTCTAAACATGTGGTCTATATCCTTCCAAGCCTTTTCTCTGCACATGCGTGTGTATATACACACACAAGCAGACTACACTTCACATAGAATTTTGGGGACGAGTTTTTTCATTTATGGTTGTCTATGTCAAATATAATTATCTGTCACTTTAAATGACTATATGACATTCCATTGAATATACCACAACGCTAAAATTCCCTACTGCAAGATACTTTGTTCTAGGGCTGCCTGGATACCTTTGCATTGCATTACCTCCTTAGATAAATGCCAATTCATGGCATTGCTGAGTCAAAGGTATAACACATTTTTAGAGGATTTCAATGCATATTGCCAATATCTACCATTTTGTGCACATTTCCTGGGGAACAGGCACTGGGCTGAGGGCCTTACACACAGACTGAGGACCCAGGCTAACCCTTATTTCTACAAAGAAGGAAGGGGAAACTCAGAGAGGCTAAGGACGTCATGTACAAGCATTCAGACCCCTATGAACAGAAAACACCTCCTGTAGTGGCATAAGTTCTGGGCACGTGGCTCTATTACTGTAGAAAATCAAGGCCAAAGTGAGGTGGTGACAATGGCTTCTTAGTCTAGGAGACACCCCCAACTTGGATCCCTCTACTTCCTGATGTAACTAGAGCAACGGATCCACGTTAGGGACTCTAGTCCGGAATCAAGAAGTGCATCCTCATCCTGGCTCTGGGAGACCGATGCAAATTTAGAAACAGAAGAGAACTTAGGAACTCAACAAGTCAGGCTGAGCACCAATCCCGGGCACCCTGAGGTTTGGCAAGTGTATGAAGCAGGGGTTTTCAGTTGCCATCAGCTCCTCCTCCCGTCAGCCTCTACCTTCCCCCACAGACAAAAACCTTACTAGAAGCCCAAGGCAGAAAGTAGCCAGAGCTGAGCTGAGCTGGTGAATGGGGGAGGGAGGATGCCAGGCTCAGGAACATTTGTACTCAGCACACTTCTCGCCCACTGGCCCCCAAGGTAAGTGAGTTGCCCTGATCCACTCACTTCTCAGAAAAGGAAAGTGAGGCCTGAGGGAAAGGCACAACTTATAAATTAGTGGAAACAAATGTCTCCTCTGAGCCTGTGCCCTCTTCTGTAAAACGAGGGTGTTAAGAGTTTATCTGGATGGGGCCCTGGAAATAATCTGTAATTCTGGTTTCACGCAAAGATGAATTTTTCATGAAGATGTGGCTTCCTGTCAACTTTCAGGGAATATTTTGCTATTTATTTTATAATCTGTCGCACATGTGAACCAAAAGTAAAATGTATA